TGCACTCACAAAATTGGTTGGTAAATTCAACGAGTGGGTGCATCGACCTGGTATATCAAGTTTCTGCAATTTTTTACGGCAAATCAGTAGATTTTCGGGATGTAGATTGCTTACTTTCAATTCATGAATGAATAAAGCAACGACATGGTTGAACTTCTTTGCATGGAAAGACGTTTAAAATAACAAAATCAAGACGTATTTAATGCAATTGCATTTATATCGAGTCAATTTCTTTTCAATAATATAACGGGATTTTTACTACCGGTGATTTGGGTATTTTAGCCCCAAAATACCTTTAAATCGACTTTATCTTCTAGGAGTTCGACAGAATTTTTCCTTTCTTCGCTTAAATTATTCCGTAGCACTTTTCTTCAAGAATCTGATAAGATTTTGCTTGAGGCAGATCAAAAAACTTAAATTCGATCGAATAGCTTTCTACTTTCACAATACACGGTCTCGTCAAGGTGCGTCTTTGACCTCGCAGTGTTGGATCGTGAATTCTCTTTTTATGCTGTTTGCCTATTTTGAAATCTCTGTAAATGAAAACTAAAGGGGTTGATATGTGCGAGTTAATGACGCGCCTTATCAACACATTGTGTTGGAGTTCACTGCTTGTTTGAATTACATTTGATCTCTGTTTCTCAATGTATGTACAAAGTTGAATTGGTATCAGAAAAATAAAGTTTCGAAACTAAAAATCATATGAGTTTTATCAGAGTCTCGATCGAATTATCAACTAATGAGAGACACGCTTGTATTACCAAGCTTACGTACGTAGGGCTCGGTAAGACATGCGTATTTTATAGTGAAAAACTTTAAGTTGAAGGCGTAGACCTTTCAAACATGTCTATTAAAACAGCACAATCCTACAAAAATACGCGTAAATATACATATTGTTTCAAAAACGGTTCTTCAAAATAAGGTGATTTTAAAGTGATCACATGCCGCTTTGCTTTTACATTTTTTTACAATAAAGTTTTAAATACATTTTAATCTACATCGTAAAATATGAATTATTTCTTGCGATGCATGATGCAAAATGTAGCTGCTTGTTTCTTTGTAGAGGTTATGTGTAATTTTGCCATAGGAAGTAACATTGAGGATCTATCCGCTAGCGTGATAGAGACGGAGTTAAGAAAACAGGGCATCATTCCCGACGTCATAGGAGAAAAGGACTCCCCCAATCATGTGATTAAGGTAAATCATTTCCTAATTAAATTTGTCCCTAAGTTGGAAGGTGCACCAATGTAAGATCGAATGCAGCAATACAGCGATTTGTCTCTATAGACAGTCATTCCCACGTCAATTTTGTCTCCCTTTCTCTCCACTTTTTTAAGAGGTCAAATGTGCGCAAAAAGTAAAACGCAGCAGCTTTTGAATTGTATGAGCTGTCGGGAAATGGACAGATTCCGTATTAGTTTTCAGTTTTGCCTTTTGCATTACCCGCGGAAATGTTTAAAGTTTCGCACCATACTGGTGCCGTTTCATCGTATGAGGGCCTCTTTAAATCAATAATTTATACAATGACACGTTGGAATGTTTGTGCATTACAAAACATTATGTTCCGAAACAGTTCACATCCATTTGTGAACTCTCTTACCCGTGTAAATACGTGAGGGTTGAATAATGGCATGGTGGCATAGTGACTGGTTTATTTATATACATTCTGCTTTACATAGGGGATTTTATGGATGAAAGCTACTATGAGGACTCAGTCCTAAGCCAGAAATCTTGCTCCATACGATCGATACATGCAATAAGTATTGATATTTACCACATGCCTTACATTTCATCCTATCAATTTCCCACTTTCTATTCTCAACACTCAACAGTTCAATTGCAACTATTCATTTCGTTCCTCTAGATTGCATACACTTACCCCCATAGTAATTTGGAAGACGCAAGAGTTGTTAGTTTCGGAAACACCCTAAAGCCTTCACATCTTTACGAATATCCAAAACAAATTGAGTGGCCAGGATATTCTGAAAAGTATTATTCGCTCATGATGGTAGGTCAGTATAAAATCCATTAGTTCTTGGTCATCTTGTGTCATAATTACATATGAGGGTACACGAGAAGAGTATTTTACAAAAGAATATTATAGGCTTTAAGTACCGCAGAGCCAAAGCTGTGTGGATTTCTAATCAGCTTTGTTCGGGCTAAAAAATCGCCAAATTGCGCTGCAAGTTCGCTTCCTTTATGAGAACATAAATAAACTGAACCGCTCGCCAATTTTTCTTCAGGACACTAAAGAGCATTTTTCATCATTTTTCACCGATTTTTCCTGGACCGAAAATGGAGATGTTGCATGTGTGAGGAATTTGCGATTTGACCGTTGATTCTATGTAAAAGTTTGCGAGAAACACGATGGTGCCACCGCTTTTCTCTGAAATCATCTCCCAAGCTCAAAAAAAGCTCTCAAAGTGAAGCCAAAATGGAGGGGATGTCCCACCCTACCCTGAGAGTCCACCTCTACATCAAGACAAACTCTTCATGCAAAGATAGGGAGCAAATACATTAGCAGTGATGCCGTGTGTTATCAGTTTTGGAGTCCCCAAATAAAGTGGCAACCCTGCTAATGTATTTGCTCCCTATCTTTGCATGGAGAGTTTGTTTTGATGTAGAAGTGGACTCTCAGGGTAGGGTGGGATATCCCCTCCATTTTGGCTGCACTTTGAGAGCTTTTTTGAGCTTGGGAGATGATTTCGGAGAAAACCAGTGGCACCATCGTGTTTCTCGCGAACTTTTACAAAAGAATCAACAGTGAAATCGCAAATTCCTCACACATGCAACATCTCCATTTTCCTTCCGTTGACCATTGGACTAAATTCACTTTCTGCATTGTCAGTCACGTATATTGAACATTATCTCAAGGCCACGGACTTTGTTAAATATTATTCAATTGATGGGAAAAAGCCAGTTTCTTCAACTCATGTACGTCATAAAACTTTCAGAGGCTTTTGGTCAGAATTCTTATACAGGTGTAATGCTTTCATAGCGGGGGATAAATAAAGTTTAGACAATTTTCACTTTTCAAGTATACCTACCAGAGTAAAAATTGTGAACCATTGCGATTACCACCGAATTTGATTTATTGCTTTCTGTTGCGTGGTATTGCGTCTGTTTGAACACTCGTGTTTCATATTCTTTAGATGTAGACGCTCCATCCCGATTAAACCCATCTCAACGGGAGAAAATCCATTGGCTGATAGTAAACATACCAGGGCCGAAAGTCGTGTACGATAAAGACATTCTTTTCAACTACATTGGTCCCCGGCCGACGCAAGGAACAGGTACAAAAGTTTGCGTCCTCTTTTCTTCTTCTTTGAATGAAAGTCAACAGAAAAAGCTTAAGTACACATCGAGTTTAATAAACTCAAATGTCCTTTATATTTGAATGCAGGAACTAAAAAAGCCGCGATTTTAAGAGTCTCACGATTTTGCTGGTCATTTTAAAGCTAAGCAGTTCCAAAGTATTTAATTTCCAAATAAAAAATTATATAAAATTTAAATACGTGAAGAATCTTTTCCCCATTTTAGTTATAAAAAGAAGGCGAAGGAATTACACATATTTGGACCGCGTTAAACAGAAAGGAACCAAGCCACATCAGCTATTGCCAAATTTAATCAGGCAATTTTATTTTTTACATGAAAACGGTTGTGCAGATTTTTGTGCAAATTTCAGTGAATTTTCTCCATAGTACAAAGCAAATTCCTTAAAATTTTCAAAGGAATCTGCATAGACGTTCTCTCGTAAAAAATTGTAATTTCCCTGTTAAATTTGGCAATAGCTGATGTGGCTTGGTTCCTTTCTGTTAAACTCGGTCCATTTGTTCATCAAATACTTTTTTAAAAAATTATTCTCTCAGCTCCTTTTCACTACTCTCGGAAAACTTCTTACTATTTCCTTGAAAAATGGGTGTATTTTGTTTCAGGGTTTCACAGATACGTTTTTTTGGTTTACGAACAGCCAAGAGGAAAAATGACTTTCATCGAGCCACGGCTGTACACAAAGTGAGTTATAGATTAAACATAATTAGAAATACTTGGTTTCAGGGTCATTAGAATTTATCTTTCATATATCTTCATTATTACCTACATTTTACAATCATATGAACACGGAACAAAATTGAGTGCATTTTATCGAATAAGTCCACTGATTTTTTAACGTTTAAGAGACGGACATGAGAGTTGCACTTTTTTTTGTACCTACTCATTAGAAAGGGTTGAAATGCGCTATGTACTCAAAAATGTACAGGTATTTGTTTTTCAAAATTCAATATGAACTTCAGGAAAATTTATCTTAAACCAATTGCATACACTTAAATGTATCTCTTAGTATTTCTCATACTTCAGGGGAAAACATGTAAATCTCAGACAGGGCCGGATTCACCTACTTGCCGCCCATGGGCCGCCTATATTTGGCCGCCCCCTTCTCATTTGTTTTGAAACTCGATAAAAACCATCAAATGAACGTGCCAGCGGGGGAGGGGTGCATAAGACGCATTTACTCGTGTTGAACACATTGATTGAGAAAGCCCTGTCAACACTTCTAGCAAAAGTTCTCGAAACTCTGCGCGGAAGTTAAGTTCCATAAACCTATCTCTGTGTGGACAAGGCCTTCCATTCATAAGAAATGAACGAAAAAATTATGAAAGAACAAACATAAATGTGGTTCAATGATTTTAACTTCCGCCGCCGCGCCGCGTAGACCGCACCGGACGGACCGTTGGACGCAATGCGTGAAGTATTCACACAGTCTTGTTGGCGCTATGCGTTTCATGCTGACCGCACTGTGTTTGGCTCAATGCGTGAAGTATTCATGCATTCTTGTAGGCGCTATCCGTTTCACGCTGACCGCAATGACTGCACTGTGTTGGACGCAATGCGTAAAGTATTCGTGCAGTCTTGTAGGCGTTAATATATGTTACATGCCGATCGCCGCGCCGAGGCGCGAGGGCTTCTCCTTTTCATCTCAAGTCCTCGTTATCATTTGTCTCTGAGTCGCGCCGTTCTAGGCCAAATTGCGTGTTTGGTTTCTCTCGTAACTCGGCTTATTGAGGGTGCCGTCTCTTGTATCACTAGGAGACGACAAAATTAGAAATTACTATACTCTCAGGAAATGAGAGATTTTGTCGCCTTTTCTCGTTTGTAATTTTTTTTTTATAAATCCGATTTTTTTATACCTACACTTAAAAAATTGCAAATTTTTGCCGCCCCTTAGATTTGCCGCCATGAGCCGCGGCCCATGTTGCCACCCCCTTAGTCCGGCCCTGATCTCAGATAAGCTACTGCCGAAGTAATGTCCTTACTAATTAAATCAGAGCAGTGTAGGAATACGGTGTTATCATACTCTCAAAATCGATCATACTAATACTTGATGACGTCCAAATAATTAAGTCGTTTTAATTTTTCAGCTTACTCGACGTCCGACGTGATAATTTCTCGTGTAGTAATTTTGCGAAGAATTACAATTTTAGCAGGCCTGTGGCTGTTAATTTCTTTTTTTCCCGGATACTTTGAGGTAGAAAAGGGATATCGAATCACCGACTTATAGCCCCCTGGTCGTCTGCCAAATTCGCAGAAAGAGAGGGAATTTTCATGCCTGGTTTTCAATTACAAAATCTCGCATTTCTCATCCTTTCGCGGTCAACAATACATTGTAAAAACTTAAAAAAGAGCACCACACCTTATGCTAAATAAGTTGGTCGATCTATGAAGTACAATGGAGTAATAAAAGAAAATAGCGGTAATTATATCCCTGGCCATGTAGCTGGTACGATCTCTCCGATAGTTGCAATCATACATCGATGGATGGCGCACGTCAAACGTGTGGTTAACACTAGACGTTTAAAACTGGTGACTAAAGTTCCTGCGGATCTCAGCCATTCATGACCTTGTGCAGATAAGTTCAATCGCAAAGAACGATCTAATTTCAAATAACGAATATGATAATGCAAATACTTTCAGTAAAAATACCATTCGAAACTACAAAGTTTTTTGGGTTTTTTCTTAAAACTTTCTTTCACACAATTTCTCAAATTTTTCTACTGCACTATACTAGCCATAGCGAGGTACGAAATGAGCGAATTATATTTCAAGTTCTAGAGAAGAAACGATTAAATTATAATCTTCAGAAAATAATCAGTGGAAAATATGGAAATTATATTGAAATTTTTGAGGAGTTTTTGTACGTGGGTAACAAGCTCCTCTGATCTACGTCTTTGCGAGGATTTTAAGGGTGGTTTCAAAATAACTGGAATAGTTTTGTCACCCTAACAGACAAAACATTTTTGGTCATATTTTTAGTAGAAATGATAGTCACTCGAATTTTTTCGCATTAATCTTCAAAGGGTTATGTATTATAACACTTTCTAATGACTTATTGCTCTACTTCTCAATTAAAATTATGTAAATTCCGAAAATGTGCTATTCTGTTACGCGGTAAAAAATTCAGCGTAAAAGACAACACATTTTCGGCCATTTATACATTAAAATTGAAAAGTAGAGCGATAAATCTTTGAAAAGCGTTATAACGCGTAACCCTGTGCAGATTGATGCAAGAGATTATCATTACTACTAAAAATTTGACCGAAAAATGTGTTGTCTGTTACGGCGACAAAACTGTTCCAGTTATCGTGAAACCAGCCTTAAACCCTTGAAAGTTCAATTTGTAAACATAACACCACTGCACATACCAATCAAGGATCCACTTGTTATGCAATTCCAGAATTAATAAAGACACTTACATCTCACCCCTTTTCCTGCTCACTTATCTCCTCGTTCCTCTTTAGTCATGTTCAAGAAAAGTGTAAAAAAAATCTATAAATTTAAAGAATCCTGCATGTTAAATTCACAGCTTAATTTAGGTTGAGCAGGCACCGACTATTTTTAATGATGCAGGGTAGCATAGCATCGTAAAACGGAGTAAAAAAAAGTTAAGTAAAATGAATAAATTAATGGAAAAAAGAGGCTCAGCTCACCTGAGATGTTACGCTTGTAGACAAAAGCTTCTTTCTTACCGTAACTGCAGACACATTTTTGCAATGGGTCCGACTGATTCAATAGTTCCTACAATTGAAAAATTTACAAAAATTTTGTTCCGACTTTCAGGACATCATGTGCACATGGCATTCAATACTCGCAAAATTTATTTAAGACCGTATCCATAAGCTTTTATTCAGTATCAACGGTCCGTGTCAAATTACGCGTCGCACCACTATTGGGGAATTGGGAATCCAGCACCAGCTGTGCCTCCGCTTACCAATTTATAGGCCCCTTCAAAAAGTATAGATACCACTTCTGCTTCTTTCACTAACAGCAGTATCACTATAGGCGCGCTTGTTTCAGTTCATTAGTAGTATCAATGTAGAAACCAAAAATAAACTTAAATATCGAGTGCGGTGTTTAAATGTTCTTGCTTTTACTTTATTTCTGACGGGAGATGAACTCAATTTACTGTAAAAAATGTTTACTTAATGTTTTCATCATAAATATTAATCATATCAAGGAAAATATCAAGGAATGCAGAAAGACAGTGTTACGATAAAATATTAAATTATTAAAAGAAGCCTCTTCCGTCTGAGTACTCCATATTAGAAACCCATAATTCTATTTTCTAGGATAAAAATAAGTATTTATTGTACTATTTTCTCTTACATCTAAAAGTACAATAACTTTTTTGATTCGGCCGGGTTCTGGTAAAACTGCATAAAAATATTTCAGAGACTTCCTTGAAAGAAAGAGATTTGTGTCATTGTATTTTTACCCTAATTGACAACCCCAGTCTTTCCTCTCTGTTTTCAGTTGCGGGTCTATTATAAAAGAAAAACGTGTTTTCATAAGAGGGTTACTTTTAAGATTCTATTCCCTGTGGTTGAAACCAATTGATTTTCAAAAAGTAAATGAGTAGTGATTCACAAGCCTCACCACCCCCACCAATTTATTTTACAATTTTCTCGTCGAGAACCTTATCAATTTTCCAGCAGTCTGAATCTCAAAAAATCGCCAAATATTACGTCACGTACTCATAATCGGGTGTATCACGAGAAAAGAAGGGAATCAGGAAACAGAAAGCTTCTGTTACATAGTACTAAACCGCTCCCTTACGAAGATGAAGACAATCTTCAAATTCATTGTAAAGTTGCAGGTGAACCTCGGAAAAATAAACCAATGAATTTCGCGGACCATCATCTTCATAAAAGTACGGTTATTATATTAATAATGCCAAATTAGAGCCGTTAAAGGAACAAGAAACTTTTACGGCTGGAGATAATTTTCTCAAAGGGGAAATTTTACATTAAGTTCCTGCAACGAAAAAAACATTGCCCTGCATTCTGGAATATGAGTAACAAAGAGTTTATTTCTGAAACAACGAGAGGGCGTAAAAGTGCATTTCAACCCGTCAACTTAGAGCTCCGAGCATGATATCCTCAATTGAGGCACTGGATGCGAAAAGGGCACTTCTCGGTTGCAGTGTTTCAAAGTCTCCTCTAATGTTTCATTCGTTGTAAGGAGAAAGAATGCATCCATTTCAATAAGAATTTTACTGAATATTCCTCATAATTTTACAATTGTCTACGAAGAGAATTCTGGAAAAATCACCCATTAAATTCTTCTCCAAGGGATTAATGAGCAACAGAACTTCTGAAACATTGCAATCGAGAAGTGCCCTTTTTGCATCCAAAGACTCAATTTTAAAAAGCTTCTTCATGGCTCCTCAATGATCGGCTTGGATTTCAAATGAAAAAAAGTATGGGTATACAAAGTGGTATTATTCAGCCATTGTGTCTAACCATCTTTCAAATACTAACCGTCTATCTATTGCTAACATTCAATTTTATCTATCCTATTTCGATCTTTTTTATGCTCTCTGATCTTTTTTATGCTCTGTGCAAGCCAGGCTGTCTGATTTATGATGGAGAGTCATGAGCTGAGACACGCTGTCGCCAAACGGGAACTTGAAAGAGTAATAAGCCGCGATTGGTTATGTACATCGTTGATATTACATATGTAAATGATGCGAGAGAGGAACTGATAGCATGGTATCACGGCCTAATTTCCGGGGCTTAGAACCTCCGCGTATCAGTTGATAATTTCTCGGGTTCAGGGTTCATTTAAGCATCCGACGCTACACTGACGGGAAGTTGACTGGCTATACTCACAGCCTGACTCCTCTCCGTAGTCAAGCTTGAGCGCTCCCTTAATTTTTCTCTCTCAGAATCATACGGGTCTTTAGCCCTTCCATGAGCTACACCTACAATTTTTGTGAAAGAAAAAAGCGATGAAGTTCAGACATGAATCAGATCTTTTAAAGAAATCAAAAGTCTATTTTTTTCAAAATCTTATTTTTCCACCATTAATTTTTTTATTTTTTTTTATTTTTGCATTGTTGAACTCTCCGCTTGTTTCTACGTATTAATTATCTCAAAAGCAGTATTAGCCTACATCTCGGAACGCAAGCTGTATATCCTGATGAGGCGTGTAGAGTTCGTGTAGCGTAAAAATGTACCTAAGTAGTTTTTTGTTCCTCCCAAAAAATTTACCAGTTGGACTTTCACTCACTTCATAATTTCTGATTCACATGTATCGGGGGATTCAGTGATAACCATTTATTTCCATAAATAATTTCGTTAATTGGTCTAAAACCAACTCTTTGGATCAGAAAAACTTTTGATATTCAGACCATCAAAAGTTAAGAGAATACCTCAGTATATAAGGGATTCTACCTCCGTTTTTATAGGTAGTCAAACTCTCTAAAGAAGGATCGGTCTGAATATATTAGCAAGATTGTCACACTGAAAGAGACTCCAAGAGTGAGGCGCGCAATTTTTTGCCCCCTATCGTGGCAACTATGCGGTTATAATCAGCCGCTATCTTTGAATGGAGAGTTTGACTGAACGTGGAGTTCGGCACTCTAAGAGGTGGTAGCTTCTCTATCACAGCCTTAACTTTAAAAGCCTTCATTGAGCGTAAGGGTTGATTAGACAAAACCAGCCGCACAACTAGACCAATATTTTATCGTGCTAGTGCAGCTGAATACAGTATCGAGACAAGATGTCATCGAAAAACTCTCTGAATACAACTGTTTGGATTATTTTACACGTATCTAAATCCCGCGCCTCTATCTTTGATTACGTCACTAAATTTGATTACGCAAAGTTTTAACATTTTTGTAGATATTCCACACAAAGAAAAAATTATGGAGATAGCGAAAGTTCAATGGCTTAATCGTCCAAGACGAAACACGATGGAATGTTTCAAAAATTACAGTTTGGACTTGTTTGCGCTGCATATGCTCGTACTTTATTTAATTTTAAATTCTGGATGCAAATATTGAATCACCTTTTTTTTAAATATAACTTTTTTTAGCATGCGACTTGTAGGTATGGGTTTTGAGAATGTAAACATTTTTGTCTGATCAGTTTGAAGTGCAGTTTTTCTGATATTACGCGATGAGCATCTTCGTAATTTTTATCATGGACTGAGCGTAACATTTTCAGTGCTCAAACAATTATGGTTTCCTAGAATTGACGAATGCATACATTGAATTATGTATAATAATATAAATACTATTATGAACCCAGCGGGTATTTACTCGACTGACTTCACTGATTCTGGACGCTCGTCCCTTATGGCTTGGATGCAACAATTCCTGCTCGAGTGATGCTCGTGATGCGTTTCCAAAATTGAAGGCGACTCACGCGATTTGCGAGGAGGGTCATCGCGCCAGAATTGAGTTTCCAGGACATTTGCATAGAAGACATTCTAATACTTGATCGGGGCCAAATTTTTCGTTTTGAAAATCTGTCCAGTTGATCAAGTTCGGACGTTTTGAAAATCGCCCGTTGACGGTTTTCAGAAAATTGTTTTACAAAGTAAATTGCCTTCAGATGTTTGAACTAGAAATAGATAGAGTGAGACTTTATATGAGCACAAATTAAATTATTAAAATCAGCTCCGGATTTCTAAAGGAAGACGCATGAGTTGAATTTTCGTCTAAAGAAGAAACAGAAATGGAGGTGGAGGAAGATCAGAGAGAAGAAAAGTTAGGAGGACAATTCGAAAATTTAGGTCCAAAACTAAACTATTGGCCATCCTACGCATACCAAAAATTCATCATTGCATTAAACATGACATCACATGATTGAGGTTGTTGAAAGCAAACTCTACCAGGAACCATTCAAATTCTCAAGACTGTGCAAATTTTATCCCTTCCTTTCTCAAGACTGAGAAAACATACCTGCAAATCAATGGATTTCTTACGCTTTTTAGAAATTTGTACCAGAAGAGGAAAAAAATAAGAAATCTGAGATGAGGGTGAAAAAATCGGTATGAATACAGTTGTTGGTTTTGCTTTCAACATTCTCATGTGGTGTTTTCTCAGTTGATGACGTAGCACTCGAATCAGCCTAGAGTTCCACCATCAGAAATGAGCACTTTTTTGTGCGGTAATTGGACTACATTTTAGCAATTTGGAACTAAAATCTCTGGCTCATCTGTAAAAACACCTACGTGCATAGGGAAGCTGATGATACATAATTATATTGTCTCTAAGCTAAGCCAGAAATTACAGTTTGTCAAATGCCTAGGCAAAAAGTCAAATATTCTGACTTACAAAAAAATTTCAGATTCTTCTCCTAACTACCGATAAAAAAAATTCATTGCGCTTGAAAGAACGATTCTCTATAAAAGTGTGCATCGCCTAAAAGTATTTTGAATGAGTTTTAGCTCCTGAACGAACATTTATCTTGAAATCTTCAGCATGTCTTAAAATACAATTTTTTTAAAATTTTAACATTAAAATATATGCAAAGCATTTGTAGAGGAATGATTTTTTTTACATCATTATTAGTTTCAAAAGTGATACAACCACCTATGACGGTGTTAATTATCTTGGTTTTACGAATATAATAAACTTACAAACTAGCTAATGTCTAATTTTCTTTTTTAGCTTTTGAGGAAGGATAGTTCATCAATTTGATGAGTTCCCAAAATGAAAATTCGTGAGTTTTTCGCCATTTTACAAAATTTCGTAACCCGTCAAAATTTGACTATTTGTCTAGGCATTTGATGAAACGCCTGATTTGACAAATCGCCCACGACATAGCTACATGTTTTTGCACTTTAGCCATCGATATTCCGCTCAGCGGAAGATCGACACACGTGCGTGAACTGAAATGAATGGAAACGCTAGTAGACTGTGCGTAAAGGGTCGGGGGCTGGGGGAAGCGCGAGGACCTTGAGACCTTGCAGTGCTAGCTCGGCACTCGGCGCGGATCGGAGGCTGCGACCAGGGGGTTGGGGGCACGGTCACATGGCCCTGGACCACATGGGGCACCCTCCGCCATCCCCCCCGCCCGTCCCCCACCCGCGCGGCCGTTCCCTCCGGCTCAGTTCTAAGCGGGAAGTGCGCGCGTCAAGTCATGGCGCGCACGGAAGTGGTGTTCGCGTTGTGCGTCGCGGTTGTGTGTGTTTCGGCTCAAAGTGATGTGCCCCTCCGCACCGGGTCCGGTATCCCTTGCTACGACGAGATCGGCAGGCCCCAGGTAAGGATTTTCCCCCAAATCTTTGAAAACCGGCTTGATTTGTCTTGGAGGGGAGGGGGAGGGGGTGGCGCAGGTGAAAAACAACAGCAGGGATGGAAGACGCAAAATAAGGAACACAAATTTTTTTTTAGAAAAGTCGTTTACGCGATTAAATTAGTCGGGTCATTTCTACCGGAACCTAAATCAATCCAAGCAGGGTGGCAAAATTTCGTGAAAAATAAAATCTTGAAATTTCTCGTGAAATATTTCATGAAATTTCAGAGATTTATGAAATATATTGAAAAATACCGGTTCCTTTTCATGCTTTGCAAAATTTCAAAATTGTGTCTTTCTCCTATTTTTGCGTGTTTGAGGGCGGGTTACATACTCTAGCCCCTGAAAAATATGAAATATTTCAATGCCTCGTGAAATTCCATGAAATATTTCCCTGAAATTTCTGATCTTTTATTTTATTCTTACGCTTCATACCACCCCAAACCCAAAAATTGGATTTTTACACCTCAAAGGGTTTGAAATTACGTGATAACGTTTTCACTATGTAAGTCTGCAACCACGAATCTCAGTTTGCGACGTTGCAAACTTCCTGTCATATTTCATTTTTTAAATTGAAAACTGATCAACGATAATTCTGAGGGACTAGCGTGGTTTTTCTTCTCAGTGCGAAGAATATTCTGCGAAAACTTCAAGGAATCATGTCAATGTTTCTCCCTTTTAAAAGGATAAACTAGGAGCGGAGATTTTGGGACACCGCAAACGAGATACGTGCGGCTGCGGACTTACACCGTCGGTTTAGGTAGTATTATTTAAAGACTTCAACAGAAAGTAGCCGAACCCGAAATTAGGTAAGAACAGCGTAATATTGGGTCAACCACTTTTAATTTTTCATAGAAAGGGAAAGGAGCGGTCAAACTTTAAAAATGTCTCACGGCAGAAATGAGGAGGGGTTCGAAGGTCAAAAGTTCCTGAAAAGTGGCCGTTGGAGAGGAGGGGAGATTCTCAAGTCGTGATCAACAGACTAAAAAACCAGAAAATAGGGTTTGTCCTTCATGATGGGTGAACTGTACAAACATTTACTTCGTAAGTTTCAGAAGTTTTGGGACAGTTTCTCATAAACATCATCGTTCCAAAATATCCCTGATTTTTCCTCTTTGCGGAAAGATTATTCTATAGAATGCTCAAGTGTAAATGTGCTTCTTTGCTTTGAAATTAGACCAGACTTGTTCGAAAATGTGGAGCTCCGTGTTTTCGAAATAGGAAAAGTTGCTCCAATAGGAGTCCCTCTTTAAAGGGTACGTTTTTAAATAATATTATGAGAACATATTTTGCCTGAGAAAAAATTAAAAACTTTTGACAAAGAGGGCGGAAATTGACGCCTTTTAAACGTAAGCTTTACTTTCATGAGCGGTGAGTTGTAAAATTTAGAAACTTCCTGAATTCCAATTCTGTGATGGATAAAGAAATTATGAGGAAAATTGACCATGACAAAATGACAGGGAATGGAGGAATACATATTTTTCGACTCGACTTTAAAGACTCAAATCAGAAACATAGTCATTGTTGTGAAAAATTCGCATAATAGAATAGATAAAACCCAACTTATAGCTTTTTTTTATGAAATTTCGATAAAGAAACACGAGTGTCGAATAGTCTGTGTTTTAGAGATGAAAGATTCTGAAGAAAGGAAATGTAGGGCGTGAAAAGAGGAATTTTCCCACAAAAGCTGCAGCTTTATTGTCTGTTGTGCTCCGTCCTCCTGGGAAAGAAAGTCCATCCTGGAGATACGGCAACATTACACGTTCGATCCCTGCACCTTTGATAGAAAAATTTCCTCTGGAGAACATTAAGGGAGCTCCGTGTCTTTCCAAATTTAATGTGTTTATGACATTGCCATCCGCTGAATTATACTTTGATTATGTTTTTTTCTTTGATGGAAAAGTAGAATATAAATAAATAGAAATTTCTATCGATCAAACTCGCCATAACAAAATTATTGTAGAATGTTTCTCTGATTTGTATGAATGAATTATTTATATTTTAATGATCAACTATCATTAATATTCCAAGTTTGCCGATGACATTCCGATTTGTCTTATTACATTTCGATTGTGTTTTTGAGGAATCAGCGGAAATTAACGAACATGACCATCAATTAAACTCGCTAAACAAAGAAATAACTAGAAATCCTAAATCCGAAATCCTAATTTGGATGAAACAATCAAAAAAACACAGAGTTAGACAAAAGACAAACTTTTAAGGTCCAAATAAAGTCACTAGGACTCGATTTCTTTTTGGACTTAATCAAAATTTGTGACCAGAATCAAACTCCTCGACAAAAGAGACACAAACTAATTCAATCCTTCAATGAAGTCCCGTCTTTGCTTCCTTCAGGAGTGTTCCTCCAAGGAAATTGATTTATTTTTACGATAGAATGCTCCCCTTTTTAATTTCAAGTATGGTTGTACTTTTTTTAAAACATTGAGCACGGTGTGCTCTTATCAAAAAAGAAGCGGGTTCAAAGTCGCACAATAATAGACGTCAGTCGCATCGCCGATCCACATCCTGAAGATTTGATAAGGAAATAAATATATTAAAAGTTAAAGGAGACATTAAGCTCGTGCAGCATGTGACTTGAATGAGAATTTCTGTATAAAATTTGTTTGAAATCGCTCCGATACCTAAAAATCAAGCGGTGAAAATTATCGTATCTCTTTCCATTTACGTAACAATCCTGTCATTTGAATTTCCTCTTCTGCTTCAAAAGCGATGTCAAAGGCCGGTCAAACTCACCTCTCATCTCGATTATACCTGCTCCTACCGGTTTAATTTTCTCATATTTTTTACGTAAACCTGGCATCAACGATTTTTCATTCATTCAGCCTCAGGATGTTGATAACGTTTCCGCATTTTCTACAATCTCCCGATGCCTTTTACTTCGTGAATGATCAAAGCTGCTGACTGTCATTGGGATACTTGGATAAAAAATAATGGCAGTGCTTGCTGTACATTCCTGATTATACATGATCATCATGAATTGTAACAGCATGGCTCTCGTAACCATTCTTAAAGTATCCCATCAATGTGCAGAATTCGTGTAAAATTGGAGTAAAGAATAATCATTAAAATTTGCGGGAGCAATGACATTTTTTCGAATTTATTAATCATTATAGTAATTAAAAGATCATTTTAACATTGAATTAAAGTACTCTTAAGCGTCTCACGTTGTCATTTAAAATTTATACCAGGATTATTTGCAACTTTCAAGAAAAGAAACTACTGACATTAAGCTCTTTTAACAAGTAAATCTTAAAATTCAAGGTAAATTCTTGGTCTCCGACGGAAATAGCCTAGTTGCTGATGGTCGTAATTAACTAAAGCCGGAATCACACGCTGAATGTGGGAGCTGAATGTGGCTTGAATATGGAAGTCATCGGCCTGATGCCTGAATTTTGCGCGTGCCGCGCAATATTCAGCAACGAGGATCTTCGACCATCGTCTAATGTCGGATTTGTTTGAACTATTCAAATATGAAAATAACTCGAATGTGCGAAATTTTATCCGTTGGGCGATGACTGTTGACTTCCATATTCAGCTGTCAAATTCAGTGTGTGATTTCGGCATAACTAACCATTAAGACACGTTTGAAAACATACATTTTATGTGCATAAATTCAAATAAATAATTTCACATAAAAATTTAAATTGCTTCGATATAAAATTTAAGGTGATAGGTGATCGCCTGAGGGGAAATCTTGAAACGTGTTACTTTCCTTGCATACCATAAGAATCTCTAATTAACCTGAGATTTAGGTATTGAATTCACAGGTCGTACATTTTCTAAAACCCCCTCATTTTTTATTTTTTTTTTTTTACATCCCTTTCTACAAGGATATACGTACTCTGTTTCAGACACTCCGAATTCGAACTGTTGATTGATTTTCGATCCAAGAAAATCATGTTAGGAAAATACGGCGCCAGTCAGATACAGTCAGTTATCAGTTGTTACAAATTGGGCTTAGTAGCTGAATATTGAACCAGTATTTCAATGTTGACGAACATGGTGCCGACTATCATCACAGGGCTCTGATACTAGATGATTCGTAACTGTAGGGTAGGACAATGATCGTTAAACTTGACAGCATTGATGACGAGTAGCGGCGATAAGCTCTTTCTCAGAAGCAGATAAAACACCATTGACCCGCTGTCAATTTTCTCCCTTTTCTTCTCTCAAAGTTTAATGTCTTGCGTGACCTAAACCTCGATTGTTATCTTTCATTATGACAATTTATAGATTTTTCTTTCGCATACTCACACTGATTAAAGAATGACTCGCTTACTTAAAAGCGAGCGTGAGATGGATATGTAATTAGACGGATTTAACTAGCATTGCACTGAGAAAAAACTATGGTTATAATTACCATATTAGAGGTGTTCAATATGCACTCTTAATTAGCAGTAGCCATAACCAATAATTGTGATATTTTTACTGGAGCAATCGTAATTTGACAAGTGTGCGGTAGTAAAATTACCATTTAATGGTAAAATATCTCTATTATTGGTTATAGCAACTACTAATTTCATATTGAACACCACTAATATGGTAATTGTAATCATAATTTTTTTTCAGTGTGTGGACTTGGGGGGCGCATGAGTGCAGTTTTTGAAAAATTGAGATGCTAATTATGTGAACTCAAACTTATCTTGAAATATTTTCTGTTAAAAATTCACTTCCAAAATCTAATTTTTAAGCTTATTTAAGTGGGTTTGAACTTACTTTCCGCCAAGAGACTCCATGTAATTTTGAAACTTTAAACACGTATTTCTCGAAATAGCAGCAACTGCACTTGTGCGCCTTTCCCTTTAAGCCAACCTAATGGACCACTAGACAAGGTACGAATTAAAGAACTCTGATACTACCAAAATTTCACGTAGAACACGATTCGCGCGGCGAAAATGACTGAAACCAACTCCTAACGAAGATATACCTATTGACGTTTTTATTTC